TACAGAGGTAAAATATATATCTAAATGTCTGACAAATAATTCGAGTTAAGGTAAGTTTTATTTCGATATATAGAGGTTTTCCGCAGCGGAGCGGAAGGGGATGAACAAAATTGTCGTCTTATACAGGTTTTCGAGTTATAGAGGTTTGAGTTATCGAGGTTCGACTGTATATACAAATCGTGTACCACGAAATATTATTCAGGATTTCAGAATAAATAATTTTTAAAAGCTTGTCTCACTCAAACTTACCCCAATATTTGTATTCTTGAAAATATCTCATCAAGATCATATATTATTTCTTGCAATTCCAACTTTATAAATGATTGGTCTTCAAGTAATTGTCGGGCATCCACATTTGTCTGACTATAAAAATCAGTAAAATTGTTTAATTGTGAGTTAATTGATATTAGATTAAGGATTATGCTTGATGGCTGTAATAAATATCATACAATCATTTAAATTCGTAATTTGCTATACTTCCGTTACGGAAATTTTTAAAAATTGTAGAACTAGAAAATCTTAAATATTCTATAATTAATTAGTTCATAAAATAGTTAATAACTATTTATGTTTTTTTAAAACATAATAAAAATTATTCTTGTATATAAAAGTTGATGCTAAATTTATAGATTTGTTTATGATTTAATGTATAAAAAATGTGGATAATTACTATTATTAGAAACTATCTGTCTTACTTACGTAATTTCTTCTAAAATTTCCTTTACATTTAAACTTAGGCTCGTTATTTCCATTAACAATTTCATTACTTCATCTTGTAGAATCTTATTTTTATATTCCACTATAGTGCATTTCAGTAATTCTTCGGTATTACGAAAACTGTAAAATTCCATAAATTTAGTAGTCAATTAACTTTTGGTTTATAGATATTTTATAGATATGTGCACACAATAAAAATTGTACATTTATTTTCATTATGTTCACACAATGCTAATATAAATACTTGATGTTTCAATTTTAATAAAAAAGATTGTAAAAAAATTTAATTAAGAAAATATAGATAATATAAATAATAAATAAAATTTCTCTTAAAAACATAAAAAATATCAAAAATATGCCATGTATTTATTTCTCTTTTTAACGAAAATAATAATTTAATCATGAATATAAATAAATTTTGTTTAATTATTGGTAAGATTTACTCTAATTAACATTAAAGAAAATCTAATATTTAATTTCTTTATATTGTATTATATCAACAAGGAATAATATATTATAATATACATTGATTCTTCTTACCGATTTTCCATCTTTTGTTTTGATAATGGAGTCCTATGGAGATTTTCTTTCATTCAACTCGAAGAACTCGGAGTGTCCAACACAGACCTGTATTAATAATCAGTAATCACTGTGTGAATGAAAAAAGAATTGAGAATGCGCGATAGAATAGTCAATATTTAGAACGTTATAATCGTATATATAGGTGTCCGCTACTTAATGATACAGCGCTCGTGG